TGAAAACTGCTCACATTCAATTGGAACAGATACAGGTTCATCAGAATTCTGAATCTTGAACCACCCTGTATCTGTTACAATTAAACATTAGTCAGTGGCGCAACCTGGATCACTTTCTATAGGGGGCACAAGAGATTTCAATGCACCCTTATTCAAACCATAATAAATAAGTGAACATATACAATTAATCATTTTTATTTCAAATTATTTACGATTTCACGAAAAAAACTAAAAGCAATCACATTACACAATGGAAAAACACTAAATAAATGTTGATTCTCACAGTGATATCACAATACTATCCTATTATGAATACAAAATAGTAATCAATTTCAAATTGATATTATATCAATTATTACAAAAATTGGTTTACACTTTGAACTCCACAGAACAAAATCGTGGTCCCATTTGTTTCATAAATGAGAGAACTTTTTTAGAGTCAACATTGACTTCTCTGTGGATATTTGAAATGGCCAAATTTCATAGGTAGGTTTTTAACCATCGACAGGTAGAAAATGATCATCTGATGTTGAGACATATCCTGATATGGAGGCTTCTTCATTTCAAAAAAATTGAATACAGTATCATTGCATTTCTTTTCACTGTTTACTCATAGTAATAGACACTGATCAGTTCGAGAAAACAATTAATATAACTACTAATATAATGGTGAAAAGGATTAAAAATTATCCTATTATTATGACTTAGCTACCTATAACTATGATTCTAAAAGATAATCACCATGAAAGACCGAGCGAAACAAATAAAACAATACATTGTGGATTGTGTGGTACTCCACAGTGAGCTCACTATAGACAGAGACATAGGTAGTCTATATGAAGATATGAAGAAAATTTAACAATATCGATTCTCTGGGGAGGAGGGGGGTTGGGGGCACAGGCCCCTAGTGCCCTCTCCTTGGTTGCGCTTCTGACGTCAGTGAATCATGTAAGCCGTTTTTGTCGATATAAAGATAGTGTAAGCTCGTAGTGACATACCCTGTATATGATGTTATCGGATGATACTCCGTTTATCATCACATGGAGCGATCTGTCTGACCAATTGAAGGAGGTTTTGGTAGAGATGTATAGAAATTTAACTGGTGGGCTCACTCTTCAATTGTTTCGTCAGACTAACTCTCGATATGGAACAATTGCAAGCGAGTTTTGGACGTGGGGTTCAGGTATTTGACGATAGAGGCGCAAGAATCGGAAAATCGTTCAAAACCTTGGTTCTGTGAGGGATGAATCTATTTCCATCATTGTTCTGTGGCCGAATAAATACTGTGCTCAACATTTTCATTCAAATTTCAATTTGAAATGGATGCAAGAAATCTTTTTTGTAGCCGATTTCAATAAGCTTCACTTCTTTCATGACATATGCACCTATTTAAAGCATGAAATCTGATGAATTTCCTCTTTGAAGAACCAGAACAAAGAATGTATCAACTATAGAAATAGACCAGTATCGAAAATCATAATAGGCAGATATGATAACTGGTACTCACCTTAGAATTTATTCACACCAGTTCACGCTTATATTTCAAATCACTGAAATAATACTGTTGTAGAACAGAGATTTTCTTTTTTCTATGGTAGATTATGTGTTATTCACAAAATTTAGAAACGGAACACGTCCCTAACGAACACTTGACCCCAATTTCAAAAATAACCATTTTTTCAGCTCAAGAATATTTTTGACATATTGACGTTTCGATCCTTTGATCAGAAATCAGTTTACTGCTCTGATCCAAATCATATACGTATCCAAATATTTATCGGTCGGTAATATGTTTCCTGTAAATATGGATTGTAACCAGGATGAGCTTAGCGAGATTTACCCACGTCAAGTATGTTTATCAAAGGTTTATCAGAGTAGGCGCCATCGAGAAATTTGCAAACGACCTTCAATAGGGAGCTAGCGCACCAGTTAAATATCTATACATCTCTGTTTTGGTGTTGTGGTGCTCTGTTGCTAAGCACCGTCAAATGCTTTTAGACTAGTGTCGATTCATGTCAATATTTTCATTCTGAAATAAGGAAATACGCAAAATTTCAAAGAATACTAAGTTGGTATGCAAGATTGAACTTAATTATGTTTGTCTGATTTTCTATCCAGGGGTGTAATTGGCAAGAACAATATTCTCTAGTAAAAATACTATGACGTTTATCACGATGAGAAACTTTATAGGCATTTTTTTTAAATTTTTTATTCTTTCTATATTTATCAAAATGAATTCCCGAAGAAATGCTCCCATTAGAACACGACGGATAATCGCCAGCGGTACTGACGTCACAAGTTCTATAACGCGTCGACCGGCTATTGTTAGTCGGGAAAAAATCGATACTCCACTATTTGTGGCATGTAATGATATAGACATTGAAGTGATGTCACCAGATTTTGAGGTTCATTCAAATGTATACCAGAATCGTTCAGTTAGATTGCTTTATAAACCCATGTTTGAACGAATAATTGAGAAGTAGACCGAATTTCGTTGCTGCTGATCGAACCTACTGTGTGCTAAAACCTACTCGATTACTAATCGTGTCAGCTATATACTTGAATAGTTAGAAATGAGGACACCAACATATACCATAATAGTATATTGTGTATCTAGTGCGTGAAGTCTTCACGGACGTGGTGCACACTATACTTTTTCTACGACCTTTTACTAGGAGATTGAATCAAAGGAAAATTTGACTAATTTTCTTTATTACAATAATAATTATTATGAACAGTTATATTGCAATTTTGTAAATTGTCAAAATGTACATTTACTTTGTCTTTCTCTACAAAATTAGTGCTACCTAGACCAGCGACCGGTGTGTGAATTTGTATTGACTCTTATGGCACCGGTGCGTGAAATAAATCCCATAAGAAAAGCATGGCACTTCACACACCGATTCGTGAAATGAAGCTTTACACATTTTTATCGATGTGTGAAGTTAGTAATTCACATACGGGAGTAGAAAAACATATTATATTGATGGCATTTGCTTCTTCAATGAATATCAAATTATCTCACCAGTTCACAGTAGGATCGATTCTGAATTGAGAAATACTGACTTGATATTTCCTTAAAATAAAACAGCTGGCAACACAGGGAAAGGGATTATCACGTCAGTACTGGCGCCGCCGAACGCTATGTTCGAATTGTAGGGCTTTGAAATGGTGTTTTTTGAGATATAATAGCATATTTTATCAAAAAATTGATGCACTCATGTTATGTTACTACTACAACTATATTTCAATTGGATGCACATTTAAATTGAATTCACGCATGTGTGTCCTTGCCTATTGCGGGACTGATTAATAGATGAGATGAACAATTTGCACAAATAAAGGGTATTTGATACTATAATGATAATGAATTATTTTCGCAATGTTTCCCAGTAGGTAACTCATTTTTTTGATTTTCAATTCAACTTTTTCTAGCGTTTCCAAATAGCTGAAATATCAAAACAATTATAAATTCTACGAAATGATATGTTATGATTGAATAAAAATAAATCTTATCTTTGAAGGCTCAACACAATTCGCGAAATCGTATTAAAATATAAATATAGTTACATAATACGATTGAGATTATATTTTGCGGATCAGATGTCGCCTACTTACTTGTACCGCTATTCCAGCATTAGCACGCAATACATTTATCAAATCAATCGTTTCTTTGTGATTCTTGTGCTTTGTGCTTCCATACAGGAAGCTTTGGGAGAATGTAAAAGGAACGAGAGATGGCCCCGATAGATTCCTAATAAAATTCAATAAACAAGAATGAAGAATAGAATGGAATGAAAGGATACTGGAAACAGTTTATGGAAACTATATATCATATTTTATGATACCTACATGGCCTATGAAATTGTAGATTACATCATCTTATTTGGAGATTAGGTACTAGATAGGTACTATAGAATAATCATTATTATCTTCTCCACTAATAATTTTGTTCAATATGTTGTTTCAAGAATAATTATTTCTTCTATTAAATGAGCCATTCAATAATTTTCTCACGAGTCGATATTTCTCAACGTTTAATGTTGATACCTACGAAACTTTGATTTTGATTACCTATAGCTAATAATAATTATTGATAATTGTAAATCCAGCAGCAATTGGGCTAAGTTCATTCTGAAATTTCGTAATCTCCTATGAATAAGAATGTAAATCTCTGAAGAAATTCGGATTTATTATGACAGTATTCAAAATTCAGAATTCATAATATTTGATAGTATATTGTAATCTTCATTCTTCATATTTCCATCATATTTGATACATTCTGTATAAAAGAATAGTTTAAAAAATTAAAGAAACACCCTTTTATAGAGCCAAACTAAAACGAAGTAGAAAATAAACATAAAATTGTATTGATTAATACACAACATAGACTATGTTAGCACCTCCGTAATCAGTACATTCTATGTTGTGTATTTTTCAACACACTTTGATGAAAGAATCATAATATCCGACCCCGAAAACCCCCAGATACCAATTTTGAATAGAATCGGATCATAATTACAAAACTCATCCTCCATTTTGGAACCACCATTTTGTCTCACAAATTTCATGATGCATTGCCCGAAATATGTACACCTGCCAAATTTTAAATCAATCGGTCCGTTTAAAGTAAGTCAAAATTGAGTCCGGAGTCGGTTATACATACATCAGGTGAAGCTAATGAAAAGGTGTTTATTAAAAAGGTGTTCATCGTTCCATAATGAGCATCAGTCCTTGCAGATATTCAAAGAGAACCGATAATGTAATAATAGTCATTACATGATCGTTGTATACAAGCGAGATAAAAACATAGACCCACTTGATTATACCCAAGTACGTATTTCTATATAATAGAGAGGCCAAAACTCCGTATCATAATGGGAAGGACGTGTTTTCATTTGCCAAAATCTCTACCACAACAAAATCCGAGTTAATGATATTTAATTAATTCGCGTAATACGAGAGTATAGACAATCATTATTTTGACTTCAAATACTTTCGAGTAGGCTCGCATGACTCGACTTGTCAAAATCCAAAATTGTCAGTGCAATATTTTTACTCATCCATAAATTCCCCGTTGAAATGGCTCTAATACCACAAACTAGACACCTGAATCCAGTTTCCGTGAAGCACTTGGCATGTGCTATCCCTAGCACCAACGCCGTAAACTTGAAGAACCAAACTTGCCTCAAGCGGTGCCCGAAAAAGCCAGACTCAAAAATACTGGATGCTCTAAGGTGCAAAGTAGCTCTAGTCACCGGTGGCTCCAGAGGTGTAGGTTACCAGCTCGCTGAAAGCCTTTTGGATGTCGGCACCAAAGCTGTCATATTTGGTGATGCCAAAGACGACTGCAAAAAGGACATACACAAACTGAACGAAAAATACGGCGAGCCGAGAGCGTTCTTCCTCAAATGCGATCTATCCAGAAAATCCGACATGGAAAAGCTTTTCAAAACGGCGATGGAAAAGTTCAAGAAGATCGACCTGGTGATCAACAATGCCGACTTAGACGGAGAATGGGAGCAAACACTATGCAACAACCTGCACGGCATAGTCAGAGGTACTTTGCTTGGCTTCCAGCACATGGGAACACAGACTGGAGGCAAAGGCGGTTATATCATCAACGTATCTTCGATCTTGGGTCTTCAACCGTTCTTCGCTTCCCCTATTTACTCTGGCACCAAGCATTTCGGTATAGGTTTCTCAAGATCCATGGGGCACGAGTATTTCTACACCAGATCCAAAGTAAAGGTCCTCACTTTATGCCCTAGCTTAACAGAATCTACTACGAAGAAAAAGAATAGCATTCCGGAATTCAAGAATCTTCTCAAGGATTCAGTGTGGAATATCAGGAATACCCCGTCTCAGGAGCCTGGAGAAATTGGTAAAGGACTACTGACCATGCTCGAAGATGCAGAAAATGGAAGCGTGTGGGTGTCAGAAGGAAATGAGTTTTATAAAGCGACGATGCCTGATAGACGTTGCATGAAAGCGGATGGTTCCAAAGGAGATGATGGTTGCGGAAAGGAGAATCCTTGTAAGATTAAAGTTCCCAAGAAGAAGAAGGACAAGTGCGAACCATTGAAGAAGCATGACCCTTGCCATAAAGATAATCCATGCAGGAAACCAAATAATACTTGCAAGTAGTCGATTTATTCTGAAGTAATTGTATATTAAGTATGAGACTGTAAATGTTTTGTGTGTCTTCGATTACTAATAAAATATCTACATTGTGTACTGTTCATTTCGATTTGAAATAACTGAAAATATGCAACCTCCACCAATCTTTTCCATTTTTATTCACTCCATCAGGTCCAAGTTTGACGAGACACTACTATGAAGAAAAAATATAATTGCTGGAATAATAGTTATTTAACCAACTATAGTGTATTAATGAGGGCCATTAATGATCGAGATATTTTAACGTGCGAGCGAAGTGAGTGCGTTAATGTTGGAGATCATTAATCGCCTTTTAATATACAAGTTGGTCACAAAATTTTTCCGTCGACTATATTTCTCATTTCTCCTGCAATGAAGAAAACTTGGTTCGCGAATTCATCATCCATCCGGAAACTGCTAAGAATCACCCAGTAGCCTTGTTACTGACATTAGTGTCATTTGACATTTGTCGAAATGATCAACACAGGAAATAAATTCCTTGTGTTAGAAAACAGGGATTAAAATCGTGTCAGAAACTTGGAAAGGCGAACCCGTTAACGGAAAATCGTCGATGAAATCCATATTTTCGATTTAAATGCAGATTCCGCTAGTTATAGCATAAACATTGAATGCGCGCGGTGTATGTTTGGTTGCCTATAAAACAATCGTGCATTAATAAACAAATCGTCCATTAATAGGGGTCATTAATGAACGATTTCATATACATTAAACTTAGTCGTTAATACGAGGTCGACGGAAAAAATAATTTCTCATTTATGCGTGATGATAATTCCGAATAGAAAATACTCAAATGACTGAGGCTCTGAATCGATATAAATCGATATCCACGCAGAACATCAAAAGACGGGTTATCGTCAGACAGTCCAGATATTTAGCCGTCATTGCCATAAATGCTTGCTGATGATAAAGCAATCTTTATGTCAAACCATTGTCATTCTTGATATAACAACCCCGCCTACTAAGTTTTTCATTTCCATACAACCGTGAGTCAGGCAGCAGCACATTTGACCATATCAAAATGAGCAAGGTTATGAGTGTACACTGATACAGGTCGCTTTGCCATTCTTCTGTGGATCGCATTTACAAACTCGAATTAATTTTTCTTCCAGATTCAGTTGAGATGACGAAGCTACATCAGATTTGCCTGCTTTGCTTCCTGAGCTTGGTTGCTCCTTTGGAATCAGCATTTCCTCCAAGTTTGAGGCACTCTACGCACCCTGCAACAACTAATAAGATCAAGGATGTCACCCTTAGCTGTGATTCAGAAAATTTTAACGTGACCTTGATGATGCAGTCGCCCTTCAAAGGCATGTTATTTGCCAAAGATTTCGCACAGGAATGTAAATCTATAGGTGGGTACTTATTATATTCATCATATCATCATGTCTGTGATTTTTTTTTTGTTTTCTATAGGTACTTTCTCCAATAGTGTGATAATCAGCCTTCCAACTTCGGGTTGTGGCGTGAGACTGAGTTCGTTTCCAACTGAAAACGGAAATGTCCAAATGGTTTACACGGTGAATTTGGTTATTCAGCAAGACAGGTTTCTGAGACAGATCACAGATCAAGAAAGAGTTATCAAGTGCCCGCTGAAAGAATCTGATTTTTTGTTGAAGAGTAATGCTCTTGTGAGGACTTTGAAGAATGAACTCACAAGGGGACAGATCAGTCACAGGTAAGAAACGAGGTATATAGTGTGAACACCACTGACATTTCCAAATTATCATCATTGTCAGATTTAAAATGTCAGTTCTGAAAATTGAATAGGCATCCTAGCGACAATGTTTTCGAATATGTCTTGGTCGGTAACGAATTCAAAACATGCTAAGAATAATGGTTACCATTTATTTAAGTTGCCCAAAGACGAGAATACATTTCGAGTGTTTGTTGAAGTTGCAAATTCCAGTATTCTTTCATCAGATAGTGCTCGACATAAACGATTTTTTTTCATACTACAAAAAGTTATGGAATTAATACGTCGCCCTAGCCTACCTAGCAGATTGATATAGGTAATGAATATGTTTTGTTAGTTAACCCAGTCCGAGATATGAATAATACCACTGGAATGCATTTCCACAGAGCTATTCAATGAGGTATCACAAGTAGGGGCTACTATTGAAATGATATATTATGCGTTGGGGTGGTTGTGACTCAGGGGGTTGGTGGGGGTATTTCATGAGACATTTTATGTTTCACCTGATGTATTCTATAAACAGTTATGAACCATTCGTGATGGGTATCGCATTTTGTATATACATGATGAGTTACATCAATTCTAAGCTTTCAAATTGTCATCACCCTATATATGGCAAACCGGACATTGTATCAGAGGGAATCATATGAATCTTAATGTTGATGATCAAGATCCATAGTGTGTCAATTTTTTTTTTGCAATTGCATTACCTCGTTGGTCCCAGCACTGGGACCAAACGCCCCATAAGTCGAAACTTGTGCGGGGTTAGGTAAGCATACCGACACAAACATCCATGGCCTAACTAGGATTCGAACCTATGTCTCGGTGGGAGTCCCCATACGAACTCAGCGCATTCACGCTCTCGACCACCGACCCGCCATCATTCTAGCCATCATTCTAGCCGTTTGTTTTCAAGTTTTCAGTGATTGAATTTCCATTAATATTACCTCATGATGGAATGCATTACCCTGTATCTCATATTATTATCTATTCGAATATAGGGATTCATGAGGTAAAAATTAGACGTGGATCGTTTATTTCTACTGAAGATATATCATATATTATATATTAGATATTATATCAAATTATTGGCACACTGTAGCAAGAAAACTGGCCATAGGATCGATCTGTAAATTGGACTGTGTAATAAGGACGCTAATATCTGAAACATATCAAATTTTCAGAAAAATTAGCCGAAAGTCATTTTCGGTACTAAATGTGCGGGGTCCTTTCGAAGATGTCGGTCTTTTGGAACTAGTCAGAAAAACATAAAATATTATGAAACTGCACTAGGTGACACGTAATAAAGTATGACCCCTCATAATTAATAAACGATGTAAAAGAAGAAGAAAAAAAACGATTAGTTATTTCAATCAAATCTTGACTGCCAATGAGAATTGCTCAAATATTTTTGTGTGTTACATATAGAGTTGGCCGGATGAAAGATGCTGGCTGGTCCAAAGAACTAGAAGGAAAGCAATTGGAAGATGAACTCAACGAAGCCTTGGCATCAGCAAGAGCTTGGATGGAGATAGTACCAGAGGAAGTGGAAGACAGGCCTTCTGGTATTTTGCAAGTGGGAGAAACTGCACGCCTCAGTGTAAAGTCAACTCTACCAGGTGAAAATTACTTTCATAAAATGTTCATTGCATTGACTGATTGTATATTGTATAAGTAGTTGGATAGCAAATACTTTTCCATTGATTCTGAACACGTTCAATATAAATTGTTTGCTTTTTCAGCGGGTATTGGTTGGAGAGTAGTAGACTGCCAAGCCCACGATGGTTTGGGAGATTCCTCGCAAAAACTGATAGACGCAGAAGGATGTCCTGTAGATGAACTGCTGATGCCATCTTTAACATATGGTCCCATCAGACCGATAGCTCTTATGAGCCACCAAGAAGCCGTCGCCAGATTTCCAGCTTTCAAATTTCCAGACAGGGATAGATTGCACTTGTCTTGTGGATTGCAGTTTTGCAGAGAAGCTTGCCCCAAGGTACCAATAATGTTGGATGGACCAAATATAAATGTCTTATACTTTTGCACCAAGAAAACTCGATCAATTGAATTGTTTTCTCGAAAAATATATTCTCGCCAACTGTTGAGACAGTGTATAACGGGTAACGAGATCATTGGACAGAGCGTCATCCATTTGTTTTTCATGTTAGAATTTTGGAATTCGGATCTATGATTTAGTTCCTTATAACCCATAGTTTATATGGAAAAACAATTAAATATCACTTCCGGTTTGGACAGAAATTGACTTAGGTTAAGAATTTTGAATAGCACCCTGTATATATTTTCACGGCTTATCCTACGCTCAAAACTTCTCTGGACTCGACACGTAGAAAAGATTGTCAGCAAGGCAAAATCATCACTTATAGTGGACATTTGTCTTCAAAATGGCGGCCCAGGAGACATTTTATCAAAAGAAGTATGGCGACATTGTGACGTCATATGTATCGTTTATTTCTCAAGCAACCTGATAAAATAGCAAAGAGAAGCACTTTGATTAGATTTTGATGTAATATGCGAAATTATTACTATTATTCAATGGGGAAGACCACTGAGGGAAGAAATCTGTGCAAACCTCTTTCAATCGACGAATCATGATTTACGTTTGATCTATAATCAATATTATGAGTTGAAGTTGAAGGGAATCGAATCTATATCGTTTTGAAATCAGCATATTTCATTCGTTATTTCGAAAAGCCAAATATGATGGTGGAGCCGTGACGTATTAGTCCCGCACTGTAGCTATCTCTCTCTGATACCTCGTCATTCTGCAGTGTTGCAGTGTGATTGGTGAGTTCAAGGACAATAGGCGTGTTGGGACTAAGACGTCGCACGTCGCACCAGTCTCACCAATGAATTGACAAAACTTCAAATCGGACAAAAAAGATTCACTCATTCAGCCTTAACTGAATTCAATAAAATACCTGATAATATAAAAAATTGCAGAAATATAGGTATATTCAAAAATGAAGTAAAAAAACTGATTATTTCTGAGCGGACTGGATAAAATTAATCATGCCATTTTTCTTTTTTTTTTCTTTTTTTTTACAAATATTATTCTTTGTTTGCCAATTTACAGTTGTTGATATATTTTGAATGATGCTATGTTTACCTATAGGTATATAATTATGTACTTCCTTATACCAGAGCCTATTCTGTCTGGAAGTTATTTGTTCAATAAATAAAATAAAAATAAAAATTAAAAAAAAAAAAAAAATGGACATATTCCAATTCATTTTTTTCATCGTCTTAGCATGAATGAAATAATTCAAAATTAATTCACTGGTAGTTTTTCAGTATAGAGTTCACGATAATGTCGTGTCAAAAAACCAGTGGTCTCCCCCATTGACAATCTTTCAAATGACATCCTTTCACTTGAATTTTCTTGAAAATTTCGAATAGGAAATGGTACTTTTTGCAACGTAACATCTATAAGTATAGGTCATTATGTTATTATTGTCAATTAAAAACTCATTCAACTCATACATTCAGTTTGCAGTTAATGAAAATACAGTCTTCAATGATTTTTAATAATGACCTATGGTGATTATTTATATACTTTGTATAATATGATGATTTGATAGTCTGACTTTGATGTGACATTTTTATAATATGATAAATTACTACTCGAAATCTCATAATTTGTATGATCTCGCCTTCGCTCAACTGCTCCATAATATCACGTCGAGGTTACCAAATTGTGGATACAATTGATACAAATTATAACACTTTGAGTAGTAATTATATTATAAAAATGTCACATCAATGTCAAACTAGCAAATCATCATATACAAAGTATATAACCATATAGACCTATATTTCGATGTTAATTTGAAAAAAGTACCATTTCTACCTATTTAAAATAAGAGAATACTAATTTTTTTTATGTTCATCATATATCTGAGAATATTTTTTCGATAGAAAGAATGCCATTTGAAAGAATTACTAAAAGGAATCCTCTAATAGGCGATGAATCAGAATTTTCACAGGTTTCATTAAAAACTGATCAAAATGCTTCGTTTGTGTGCTATTTTTTAATAATGACTATGGTGATTAGTCTGACATTGATGTGACATTTTTATATGTACCGGCGGTATATGATCTGGTGCCCACGAAAAGGGATATCCTGTAATGTTCAGAGAACATCGTGAGAACCAAGGGAAAGGTAGGAATTCGTGTTCTTCTTAAATTTCTGGAGGTTATATGCCTCGGGGAACACCTCCCTTGGCTGGCAATGTGTGTTCCAGAGCCTCGCTGTTCGTTGGATGAACGAGTCCATACAAACTGCTCCATAATATCACGTTGGGGACAATAAATTGTGAATACAATTGATACAAATTATAACACTCTCAGTAGAAATTATATTATAAAAATCAAATCATCATATACAAAGTATATAACGTAACTTATCACCATACACCTTAATTTCTATGTTTTTGAAAAAAGTACCATTTCCTACTTATTTAAAATAAAAGAATGCGAATTCCCAATGTTTTTTTTTATAGGTATCTATTTTTTGGTTTTATGTTCATAATATATCTGAGAATATTTTTTCGATAGAAAAAATGTCATTTGAAAGAATTACTAAAAGGAATCCTCTGAAAGGCGATAAATCAGAATTTTCACAGGTTTCATCAAAAACTGATCAAAATGCTTCGTTTGTTTGCTATTTTATCAGGTTGCTTGAAAAAAAAAAATCGTCAATGACATCACATGCAATGTCGCCATATTGATTTTAGACAAACAGTCTCCTGCGTCGCCTTTTTATTAACAAATGTCCACTTGCGATATATCATCGGAAAGACATTTTTGTTTGAATTTTCGAATGGTGTGGAAATAGATCCAGGGTTCCATTGTAAATTCTTGAAGTCAATTTCCGGTAAAATCGGAAGTGATATTCAATTGCTTCATAATGAAAATGGTTTGATGGAACTATATCCACGTTTCGAATTTCAAAATGCTTTTATAAAAAACAACAGAATGGCGCACTGTCCAATCATATTGTTATCACCCGGTATAGTGATTGTAGTGATTCTTATTGATGAGCATTTCCAGGTGGATTGTTCCAGCGAATCTTCAGAATCGCGAGACGAGAAAACCTTGGATTTTGCGGATAGTGATATATTGGACAGACTAGAAGTTTACAACAGCGTAGAAGTTGTCGCTCCAGAAATAGACGACCTCGAACAGGGTGATCGACTTCAAGCGAGCGGTAAGTGGAAGAATCGATCTTGGATGAAGGAACTTGTACATAGCTCTTGGTCTGTCGATCTGTACTTCATTTGTCTCGATGAGGTAACTCTATCACTTTGTATATTTGTAAATAAACTTATAGATGGCACGCTTACTCTTTTCATTCCTTCCTTCCTCTGCACATACTCTTTCTATCTTTGAGATAATTGGCATAAATCGACGATGAAAATAGATAGTTATGTTTGCTCTCTCTCTTTATTTATACAGGGTGTATCTAAATAACACCGAAAAAATTCAAGATGTGATTCCTTGTGATATTCTAGCAAATTGAGTTCATATAAACATGTGCTCTAACTTACTCCGTTTTTGCGATACAGGATGTTGAAGTTGGAGGTATTCATTGTTTTCATTTATAGCCCCCCTGTATAAGCCTTCATGGTGCCAAAATTCAGTATGGTTGAAGACTGAGAAATTACCAAAATTTCAAAATGATTTTAATTAGGGTTATTTAGTAATCTCAATGGAAGTCTTGAAAATACGCCTGCATTAAAATTTGGCTACATACGAAGATAACACAAAGGATAAAAACATTGTTATTTCAATAGTTCAATCTAATAAAAATATGAAACTCAGAAAAACCGGTGGCGTACAATGACATTCTCCATAAATATCGATAAATTTACCCATTGTACCGCCACTGGAAATATTATTTCGAATCTAATTGCACGAGAAGAAGCCCCATATTACTATTAACAAAACCACAACGTTTTATAGAAATTGATGAAATGACAACTAAGTAATGAACAAAAAAACAATTTTTCATTGAACTATATCAATACCCTGTATCTCGAAAACGAAGCAAGTTAGGACACATGTTCATTTCCTCAAATATCACAAGGAATCACCCCTCGAAGTTTTCGATGTTCTTTAGGTACACCCTGTATAAGAAGGACTTATAGTATACAGAGTGTCCGGAAAGGTCATGTCGGTAATGATAGGGCTATAAGTGGCTATAGAGTGAAACAAAATAATGTTAGTACTTCATATAAAAAAATGTTTATCGCAATTCGTTACTGACTTATTGACCTTGAAAGTTTCTGCAAGTCCATACATATGCATACTCATCATTACTAAAATACTTTGATGTCAATTATGACAATGACTGCAACTACCATGATGTTATCGAATGAATAGAGTTCTTATTACCAAGCAAACATTTTGATAAGAGGCATTAATGGCCTACTATATTTTTCCCATACCTGACATCAACGGCCCAGTAAATGTTCCCATATATGGGGGACTCTGCATAAAAGTACACTGTGACTGGCAGCTGGTCCCAGTGCTGGGTGCCCAGCAATCATATTCAGTTCCCCGGCAAAAGGCCAGTACAAACATGCTCGACACATTGAATTTCCCAGCATATACAACAATGATGGGACTGTAATGGCCAATTACCGACATTGGCTACATACTATATCGAAGTAGGGGTTTTAGGGGTCCAATGAATCTGGAATTTATAGTAAGTCTATATTTTTCAATAACCCTCTCATCATATTATATCAAACATACACATACCAGATTTCAAGGAAACAATTTTATGAATGACACGATGATATATCTCCACAACCTAGCTCTTCTTCCATGATGAAACTTCTCATAGCGACTGCCATCATAAATAACCACCAGGGAAAGTGAGGAGCACAAGAATTCGAACAAACCAGAGAAAAACGATACATATGCGATCAGGAGAGTCACATATAATAATGATCCAAATGATCAACACGAGTAGTGAACAGGATATTGGCCAGCAAAGGGCCACAGCTCGTTAGAGTTCAGTTAGTTCCAGCCATCTTTACCTTCACAAGGCCATCATCGTATTTTCAACTGATGGTCACTTAGCATAGGGAAATCATCGGCCCATTACCAATATCCCAGCATCGTCATATTCCCAGACATGCCTGCACTAGGCCGGACTTCTGCCGGTAGTTCAGTTTGCTGGGTACCTTTGAAACGGTTGAAATTGTCAGCTAGATACATGTACATCAAGATATACTTCCATTTGGCGTCCATGGTTGTCTTGGACTTCAAATGGATATAAAATTAATGGATGTCCTCTGTTTAACGTGTGCATGTTATTAGGGTTATTATCTAGCCTCAATGCTGATTATTTCATTAATACATTGTTGTCAACTTGCTATTCATGTTATTTAACAATAAGGTTCGTGGAGAAGTGGTAAGGTTGCAGGTTTTAAAAAATTCAATCACAAGATTCTACGTTAATATTCTTCCTACTTGTTCAATATACTAGGGCTATTCTCAGAATATTCAAAACAGTCGATTCCGAATGTTCAAAGAACGTCCCTAGAAAATTTGTATCACATTATGTGAGAATATTCTGGGATTATTCAAATATTCTCTAAGAATTTCCTATGGACGTTCTATGAATGACATTGTGCTATCTGGGAGTAGAGGGGCCGTATTCGCCCCACTTACATATGGAACTTACCTACCTACCTATACCTCAAAAGGGTTGACCCAATCATTTATGCTAATTAGATATTCGGACCTTTGTTTCAGAGAAGGATAAAAGGTCTATGTATCTTGTAGCAGGTAATTTTAGTTTATGGACATACATACATAGTTATATCTAGTTCAGAAGTTTAGTGATTCTCTAGCTAGAGATTGTTAGAGTACTGAATGAAAAATAAGTTTTTTGTATATTGTTTGTCGTTCGTGACTTTTGAGCAAAATAAACTATTCTGTACATGAACAGTTATAACGAATACTTAAACTTTCTGTTTTCTTCATGCCGAAATTGACTGTTTTTGTTAATCTCATTGTGTCTTAAAAATAGACATGTTATATGTCGTAATCTACATTCTACATACAAACCAGTTCCCAAGTGCCAATGGAGTTGACACCAGGATAGGTGAGTGCCCCTTATGCCCTTTATTCATGTTTGTGATTGGATATTCTTCAAGTTTGAATGAAAAAATAGTTCACGCCAACAAATGAAAATTTAGCGGGGAAAAGGTGCAAGCTGGGTGGCATATTTTCAGGGGCGACAATTTTTGTAATATTAGGTAGTCAATTATAAAAGTCGTTGAGAAATTTGAAATAGATGAATGAAAGGAACACGAGAAGGAACATTTTGTAACAATTTTATCAATGAATCTTCCTACGGCTAAGGGGAAACTGGGATTCCAAAACCGACCCAACAGGAATTTACCTACCTGGATTGATAAGTATTTCCTTGAGAATTTCGAACCTAAAGATATGGTGATCCAATACTCATATTTTGATTTGTGAAAGAGTGAGAGACAAGTTGGCAACCTCGGTGGCAACATAATTATGGGAAACTTTTTTATTATTACAGCCAAGTTCGAAAATTGATATGTATTACTGAGGTTCGTATACCAACTCCTTGACTCTCTTTTTGACTCTTTACTTTGAATACATCAATTTTGTGTCTGATGATGGACTGTGGCCGAAACTAGTTACACTACTGTTATTAAATCATTTTTCGTGGTCGACAGACTTTGGGACTTCAATTGTTCTTTCTTATAATAATAGGAATTTCCTTTCGTGCGCTCTAAGAGATAAAACAAAGTTATTGTTGAACATTCATAAATAAATGATTGCGTGGATATTTGCTCGATTGAGGACCATAAAGTTGAGACATAAATATCTCATATATTTTACATAACAAATTACGCGAAGTAGTAACTTCGCGAGCAGTTTTACTTCGCGCATTGTTTTGTGCAAGGACTGCAAGGTATCATGGTAACGTAGGAAATTGAAAAAAAGTGTCACTTCGCAATTTGTTATCAATTCGCGAACCTTGTCATTTTTTGACGTAGAAAAAATTGATTTTGCTCAACATCTGGTATACTAAATGATGTGAAAAATGAGATCTACTTTACGAGATCCCAATGATGAGGCTCGAATTCCAGCCACCATGTAAATTGAGATTGTTGAATCAAAGTAAAAAATATAGAAGATGTTTTCATTTATTTCCAAGAAGTACATCAGCTACTGAAAAAATGACACGTATATATTTGAGACACTCCCACATGAAATGTATTATTCTTGAGAGAGCATTCAGTAATCGGCCCATCCGTCATTGTGTCCCATACTTCCCAGTCGGCACCCCATAAACATCTAATATCCCCTCATTAAATACCGAGCGAGCATTTTTCCAGGGCGCTGGGCCATTCGTTCGATTTTTTTTTCTCTACAGAAATCAGCGGAGCGAAAAATTTGCTGCTTGTGCAGGCGTCTACGGTGGCATTTTGATTGATGGTGATTTGAAAATGTGATAGTCGTGAATACGCTATTTCATTGTACCTATTAATTAAGGAATTGCCTGGTTTTATATACAGGGTGTTATTCGAATATGTGGTCAAACTTGAATGGATGCGATTATGTTATGTTGGTGATTCCAAGACGAAAAGTTCAAATGAACATATATAAATAGCTCCGGGAATGCATACATTTCAAGATACAGAATGTTGATCTTTTTTTGAAAAATAGGTTCTCTATGAATCTACTCATGGCTTTATTAGTCCCATACGACTACAACAAAATAACATTGCGATATTTCAACAAAGTTGGATCAAAGATTTTTGCAATATTTACGAAAAACCGTTTTTTTTCATCATTGACACCCTGTATCTCGAAAGTGGTGTATTTTCGGACCTATTTATATTCATAAAAACTTTTCGATTTGGAATCATATGAAAAGTCAACCCTTGAAGTTTGGCCACATACATTCAAGGCGAAGCCAGAGCAGTCGTGAGTAGATTGTTCAGGGGTCAAGTCGTTACCATCGATATATGTCTCGATGGTAACGGTCAAGCACCTACAAGCAACACGCACGGCAAAGGCTACAGGAAAGGCTATATGAAGAGTTGGAAAGCGACGCCATCATGGGAATGCCAACAGATGGAATAATTCCAAAATATAGCTTTGAAAAAACTTTTAAAATAAGTACAGAGGGCTTGCTGTCTATACGGACGGCTCCAAAAGGGTCAAGAGCTGGTATGTATGGAGCCAAAAGCCGAAGACAAGAATCTCACTGCGCGTAGGCAAATACGCGACGGTGTTTCAGGCAGAAATTATTGCAATACATCATTGGGTAAAAAAATTGATAAGGCAAGAGTTTAAAGGGAAAACCATTGCAAAATTTTTGTGCTTACTTATAGCTACCATTATGTTATATACTCACACCTATAGTCATTCTCTCAGTATCTTTCATTTTTTTTGTTTTACATATTATAAATTTCAACCCAATCGGTCATGCCGTTTAGTATAGTTGACGTACCGACATCAGCGCCACCTACCGCAACCAATTATGCCTTAAATCCAGGAAACCATCGAAATACCCATATAAAATTTCAACCCCATCGGTTCAGTTGTTTAGAAGTTGTCCTATTATACCGTTTTCCCGTACAAATGAAGCATTTTCCCGTGGAAAAAAGTAGCTTATGTTCATCAGGGATAATGTTGGCTTCTAATGGTGAAAGAATTTTTCGAATCCGTCTAAACAAACAATCAAACAAACAATCGAAACTTTCAATCGGTCGGGATGACACCTCTGCCGTGAGGACGGTTTTTATTATTTCCGAAACTATTCTAGATAACATAATAAAATCGTATGCTCACTGCACTTTTCAATACATTTCATGCTTGAGCATGAATAAAATACGAAATTCTATTTTTTTCAGGAGTGTTTTGAACAGGGTCGGCTCAGAGTACTCTTTTTTAGCCCGCATTCTTTTGTCAGCTATTATGTTTGGAACTCCAACACCAAGGAAATTGAAATACTCTTGATTGACGATGATAACATGCACAGTTGCGGAGTGAAGTCGATTTGAACATAAAATTACATGACATAAATTTGAAAATAGTTATTTATTCAAAGAGAATATGGAACGAATTTTTTTACACAAGGAGTTTTCTGAACGTAGTCGTAGTCGAGTTATGAAACCTCGCAAGTGCAAAAAAGAGGTGAAAATCAACTACCTACACCTACCTATGTGACCTATATGTCTTTGTTCAAATATTCGCTTTCAACATTCATCTCATTACAAGCATGTCTCTTTTTTGTTCGATTTATTCAGTGAATCCGGCTTCTATAATAATTTTAATCATTATAACGAAATCGCTTTCATAATTATACAGCATTTCTACATTTCGAATCTTGATCTGTCTGCGTTTAAAAATATTGCAATAATATCCATATTTGATAACGCACTGAAACACAGACATGTTCATTCTGATGCAGACGAAAAAAATACAGCAAATGCCATGCTCCACGTTATAAATTATATTAATTCATACCTGTCTGGAAAAACTTTCGGAGTTCATGGTTTGGTGTTGCATGATAACCCGTAATATGTGTTTTGATATAATCCATAATAATTAGACACGAAAGTAGGCACT